CCTCCCTGGGCAGCCTGCTCCAGAGCCTAACCACTCTCCTTGTAAAGAAGGAGAGGTCCCACAGATTTGGGTTTGGGTTTTTTTGTTGTTGTTGTTGTGGTTTTTTTAGGTTTTTTTTTCAGTTTTTTTTTTTAAATGCATGTTAGAGAAATCACACTTTTCTACATTTTGAGTCTGTTAAATCAGGGGAATTTCCCTCATCTTTTCATGCAGTACTTAAGTTCCACCTAGTGGCTTTCAACAGCAATAACGCCAGACAGAAGACAACACATTTTATTGCCTAAATGCTTAATTTTCAAAATGTGTGTTTACTTGCAGAACCAATCTTACTCTTCTTTAGACATATAATTTATCTTTCCATCTCCCTAAAGGTTCTCTTGGCCCTCTGACAGGAATTCTTCAGCTACCCTTAATCTGTTTTAAACTTAAATAATCAAAGAAGGGCTTAGGTTGGAATGGAAAGGACCCTAAAGCCTTCCCAGTCCAACCCCCAGCCATGGGCAGGGCTGCACCCCAGCTCAGCTGCCCAGAGCCCCATCCTACCTGGCCTGGAGCACCTCCAGTGATGGGGCACCACAGCTCTATGGGCAGCTGTGCCAGGGCCTCACTGCCCTCTGAGTAAAGGATTTCCTCCTAACATCTAATATAAATCTCTTTTAGTTTAAAAGCCATTCTCCCTTAAAAAGTCACTCTCCCTCCTGATTATAAGCTCCTTTTAAATACTGGAAGGCCACAACGAGATCTCCTCAGAGCCTTCTCCAGACTGAACAGCCATAGCTCCCTCAGCCTTTCTTTGGAGATTTTCTTCAGCCCTAAAAAGGTTTTATATCAAACTAAAGCACATAGCTGTGCAAATATGAGTGTGAAGATGGGCTAGCTAAGAGCACTAGCACCTTGCATACAGGAGCTGGACAGCACTGTTGTCTATTAAATAAAGCAGTTCCTGTATCTAACTCCAGCCATGTATCGCAGGGTAGCGTCTGGTTACTAGCAGAAGTCAGCTGGTAACAAATTTGTCACAACTGGTAAAATCTGTCTCATTTCATAGAATTATATCATTAAGGATGAAAAGACTTCTAAGATCCTCTAGTCCAACCAATCCCCACCACGCCCACTGACTACGTTCCTCAGTACCACATCTACACGGTTCTGCAACACCTGCAGGGACAGTGACTCCACCACCCCCCGGGGCAGCCTGTGCCACTGCCTCACTTCTTTCTGAGAAGAAGCTTTTTTGTAATATTCAGCCTGAAAACAGTTGACATTTTCAGCTCAGAATCCCTTCAGAGTCAAGCAAGAAACAAGTGCTTACTAGACTGTGATTCAGATACCTATTTGAGATGTTCGCCTTTGGGTGAGATGAATTTTGTCTTGGAAGTGTCACACTTCCTCATTTCTGTTATAAGGACGCTCCAAGGAGCTCATTGATACGATGGCATCTGCATCACATCTTAAATCCCACCCATGGCACCTAACAAAAACTGTGCTGCACAGTATGTAGAACCATAGAACAGCTTAGGTTGGAAGGGACTTCAAGGATCATCAAGCTCCAACCTCCCTGCTGCATATAGGGCCACCAACCTCCACATTTAATGCTAGACCAGGCTGCCCAGGGCCCCATCCAACTGTCCTTGAACACCTCCAAGGACAGGGCAACCACAACCTCTCCAAGCAGCCTGTGCCAGCCCCTCACCGCTCTCTTGGTAAAGAACTTCCCCCTGATATCAAACCTAAACATCCCCAGACCAGCCTCCCACCTGAGACACCACTGCTGTGCCTGTCAGGAGGTGCGTGGGCCATGGAAATAGGTGGGGTTGGCGCCTGAGTGCTCAGTGTTGTAGAGTAACAAATATGTTTGCATCAGCCACAGCTCAGAGTGTGTTGAAAGCTCCACAGGCATCCACAAGTAAGAGCAGAAACAAAACATGCCTATTTTCATAAAATCATAGAATCGTTAAGAGTTGAAAGGACATTTAAAGGTCATCTAGTCCAACTCACCTGCAATGAACAAGGACACCTACTGCTAGATCAGGTTGCCCAGGGCCCAACCTAGCCTCACCTAGATTTTCAGTCTCTAGGGACAGGGCATCCATCACATCTCTGGGCAACCTTTTCCTCACTATAAAATACTTTTTCCTTATATCTAACCTAAATCTACCCCCATCAAGCTTGAAACCATTTCCCCTTGTTCTATCACCACAGACCCTGCTAAAGAGTCTGTCCCTTTCTTTCCTGTAACTCACCTTTGGATGCTGAAAGGCCGCTATCAGGTCGTCTCGGAGCCTTCTCTTCACCAGGCAGAACAGCCCCAGCTCTCTCAGCCTGTCCTCGTAGGGGAGGTGTCCCATCCCTTGGATCATTTTTTAGGGCTCTCTGGATGCACTCCAACAGGTCCATGTCTCTCCTGTACTGAGGATTCCACATGTGGCTGCAGTGCTCCAGGTGAGGCCTCACCAGTATGGAATAGAGGGGCAGGATCACCTCCCTCACCCTGCTGACCTTGCTTCTTTTGATGCAGCCCAGGATACAGTCGACTTTCTGGACTGTGAGGGCACAATGCTGGCTCACGTTCGGCTTCCTATCCACCAGTACCCCCCAACTCTTTTTCAGCAAGGTTGTGCTCAATCCTTTCATCTCTTAGCTTGTATTTCTAGTGGGGATTGCCTAGACCCAGGTGCAAGACCTTACATTTTGATTCTTTGAACCTCAAGAGATTCACCTGGGCCCACTGCTCAAGCCAGTCTTTGGACCCTTTGGAGGGCATCCCATCCCTTGTGCATGTTGACTGAGCCCCACAGATTGGTGTCATCAGCAAATTGCTGAGGGTGCACCCAACCCCAGTATCAATGTCATTTATGAAGATATCAAAGAGTATTGGTCCCAGCACTGGCTCCTGGAGGATGCCACTTGTCACTCATCTGCATCCAGACACTGAGCCATTAACCACCACTCTCTGGACTCAATCTTGCAGCCAATTCTTTGTACACTGAACAGTCCACCCATCCATATCTTTCTAATTTGTTGTGGTGTCAAAGGCCTTACTGAAGATAAATGTCATCAGTGGCTCTTCCCTTGGCCACTGATGCAGTGACACCATCATAAAAGGCCATCAGGTTGGTCAAACAGGATTCATAGAATGGCCTGCGTTGAAAAGGACCACAATGAGCAGCAAGTTCCAACCCCCCTGCGATGTGCTTACGGGTCCGTTTGTTCCCCATCTCCCAGTGAGCTCTAGGAAGATGGGAAAGGGAGCCTGGAAGCAGGAGTATTACAGCACTTTGCACTTAAAAAACAACAGTGACAAGTAGATACACCACCACAGAAAACTAGCTTTCAATACTATTCCGTCAGAATACATCTCACCTTACTGTTCAGTTCTATTAAACTGGCTAAAGTTGGTTCTTCGTAGCATAGGAAAACTGTAATAACATTTAAAACAACTCAATTTCATGATTTGTGGAATGGATGAACAGTCTATATTTGCCTTAGGGCAGCTTTTTCTGTTCATTTTTATTTCAAGGAGCTTTACTTTTGGTCACATGAAGACAACTGGCTCCTCTACGCAAAGAAAAGGAGGCAACTTCCACAGTTTTGTTTTCTTGCTCTGCAAAAAATGAAGAGAGAAACTGAGGCCACAACATGTCTTTCTTGTTGTTGGGTCCAGCCTATGCTTATGGTTTATCTGCAAGAAAAATCGTTCTGCAGCAGTTATTTCACCAAACCTGAGGACACTTACAACACCAAGCTGGTTGCAATCACTCAAGTTACACTGGTTTTGTTTGTGGTGGTTGGGCTTAGGGGTGTCTTTGGTGGGGAAGCTTACATCATGCCCTGCCTCACGAAGCTGGAATCGCCTCCCCCTCCATAGCAGGTCACTGTGGTGGGCTCAAGAGAACACTTTAGAAACCATTCCGTAAAGCTTCACTTCATCACTGAATCCTTCTTGCTGGAACAGCATATTTGATCACGTGCAAATGCTGCTTTATTCCACGCTTATACATCTGCACTCGCTGTCCTGTTGATAAGCAGGCCAGGCCGACCGGCTGCTCACAGACGACAAGTGAACTTCGGCACTCGCCTTCCGTCAGCATTTCCCGCCAGAAGAAACGACTACGGAGAAACTACAGGGCGGGACTGAGCGGAGCCGCGCAAGCCAAATCGCCCTCGGAGATCCTAGAAGCAAGAGGCAAGGCGGGGCCTGCCGTTCTCTGCCTGTGGCCTAACGCAGCTCCAGCTGCTCGGAGCCTCGGGTGCCGGCGAGGAGGCAGCAGAACGCGGAGCTGGGCTGCAAGGTGCGGCGCGTGCGGGAGCACGCGGCGCCCAACGTCCCCAGGCACAGGAGGCATCGGCAGGGCTGGAACTGATAGGTGGCTCCATAGCTCAGTGGTTAGAGCACTGGTCTTGTAAACCAGGGGTCGCGAGTTCGATCCTCGCTGGGGCCTACCAAGATTTTGGCTTTCTTTTTTTCTTTAACTTTCTCTTTCCTATCGAATAGTTCCGTTCCGAACCCGCCTCCCCCCTCCCCTGGGAAAAAAAACATGCACGGCCGCAGGGAGAACGCGTCGCCGTCCCTGCCCCGCTCCCACGCAGCTCGGCCCGAGGGCTGGTCGCTCTAGCACCCTGCGCTGCAGACCCAGCTCGCAGCCGGCCTCGCGGCATGGCTGCAGCCAGCAGGTGGCAGCAGCAGGAAGCCCAACGCGGGAAGCAGCGTCGGCTGAAGCCCGAACTGCAAAATGGTGCCGCGCGCTGCCTCTCCAACCTCGCCCGAGGGGAAGGCGGTACGCGGGCACAGCCTCGGTAACGCCGCGGCCCCGTTGCTCCAGTAAATGCACCGCGCTGGAGAAAAAAAAAATGGCTGTTCGTTACAGCACACAGCCGCCGAGAACGCAGCAGCCCCAGGTGCGCCCATCTCACGGTCCTCCTAACAGTGCCAGCCCACGTCCCGGCCCTCAGGAACCCACACGTTGTTCGTAACTTCAGTAAAATATTGTTAAATGCAGTTAAGGTTTAATGCCATTAAGGTTTAATAGAACACATACAGACCGCTAACACTGACAGAAAGGAAGGAGAGCAACAGTGAGGAACCAAAGGAAAGAGTGGATTCAGAGCATTTGTTCCACCACCTTACATGTAACTTGCTTGTTTGAGGGATTGCCGTGAGGTTCAAAAGCTGCTGCTTCATCTACTCTCCTTCCTTCTCCTTCCCACTTCTCCCTTAGCTTGTGCAGCTTTCTTTGGCAGAAGCTTCTTGGCTTCAGTTAGCTGGGAGCTCTTCCTTTTCGGCAGAGATGGTGCTGGTGTTGTTCTGGGGACCCTTGCAACCTTCTGCTGTTTCTGCTTTGCCTTGTGTTCACCATCAGCCTTGGTTTTCAGTGTCTTTTTATTGGACAGAGCTGGTTTCACTGTCGATGCTTTTGTCTTGGAGGATGCCATCTTTTTAGATTTCTTAGAAGAAGCTGTTGGGGTAGCTCCAGGGGGGCTGGAAGACCTTTTGGGGGGCTTGGTTGGTGAAGGTTCATTAAGGAACTCAAGGACAGTCTCTGAGAAGAGTAATTGAGATGTTTCATTATCCCTACTTTCAGGCAGAAGGCTAATTTAGAAAAATACTGATACAAACTCTTAATAGAAGCGCAGCTTAGAAAAATATCTAGCATTCTAAAAAGAATAAACAGGTTGCATAAACATCTATCAAAAGATTCTTGGGTTTCTTGGAAATAAAGTCTGTTTAATCTTAGAAATTATGAATGTCTATTTAGGAAAATAAGTCCTGAAGGAATGTAAGAAAGCCTTGCATGCTTCTCTCTGGCCAACTGAAGACTATGAATTTTTCACATTACACCAGTATCTAGAAATCCCAGATAAGGCAGTTTCAGCTTGCTAAATGTTTTTTCTACTTAATAACACAATGTAACCTCTGCTCTGGTCTAATAAGACTTTGGACAGGAAAAAAAAAATAGAAGAAAGGAAAGACGGCTCCCCTAGATTCACAGAGGAAGAATGATGTGATTTGACCTGAGGAGCTTTTCACAAAGCAAGGACAGGCACCAAACCCAATGCCTAGGCAGAGCCATCAATTCCCCTGTGATGGCTGTGAGCACTGTTGCTTCACAACATTTAGGAAAATTCAAATACCAAGATCTATCAGTCAACAGAAGCACACAGTACATGTGATTACCTGACTTCAAGATAGGTCCTGCTCAGCACTTTGGCTTTTAACTTCACTAGCTACATCAATCATATATATGTAAGACCATTGACAGCTTTGTTTCTTGGTAAAATTAAAGCCCAACTTACTTGCACGTGGAACAAATGCGATCCGTTTGCTCTTTGTTTTCACTGTTACGGGCTTGTATTTACATTTCCCTGGTGGAGCTCGCCTTGAAGAAAAAACAACAGAAAGATGCGCAGATACCTGAGAAACTGTCCAGAAGTTTATAAGATCATCTCGTCCCAGCCCCCTGCCATGAGCAGGGCTGCTGATCGCTACTGACAGAGCTCTTTTTGCCCACTGACAGTACAGCATAAGGAGCTCCAGCCAGCCCCACAGAATTTGGTGTGACATCCAAAGGGTGCTGCTTTGGACATAAGCGAAGGGACTGCATAGAGCAGTAGACCTACATTTACCTATGTTTTCTGATCTTCACCAAGAGAAGGGCTGGAGAGAAAAGTGACAAAAGAACACGCTCTTCCAATTTGGCGTGCTTTTAAGCACAGAGCACAGCAGAGCATGACCTCAGGCACAGCATTTTCTTGTGATCAGCATTTTCCTTCAGACGAGGGCAACAGCCATGTGAGTGCTTTCCCCACACCACGTCAATTAAAAAGAAAAAAAAAAAAGACGACAAGCTACTAGGGCAGGCTTGGTGGTGGCTTTTGTTGTTCCTCCCTCTTCCTCAACTTTTAAAGCACCTTCTAACACCTCCCTCCACTCTTGACTGAGGAGTTCGATGCCACTCCAGGTAGAAGCATGCCAGCCATGTGGGGTAGAAATAGAATAATCCCATAAAAAGCATGAAATTGCAAAGAAGAATGGGAAGACAATCTCCACTGAGAGTATGGTCAGAAGGCCAGAGTGCAGCCCGGGAGCTGGAGGTAGCAGCATTCTACTCCAGGGCCAAGCTTTGCACACCCCAGACAAACTTGCCAAGCACTTAACCTGACAGACAAGGACAAACCTGAGCAGTTCTGCATCCAGGCTAATGGAAGCCAGAAAATACAAGAATACATTCCAGAGATCCACCTAAAAACAATGGATATGAAGCTCCAGAAGCACTGGACAGAGCTGGCTTGTTTCCAGCAAGCCTTTCAGAGCAGTGAAAGCATCACGCTCCTGCCAGGGGGCTTGCTGCTCCCATGGAGCCACCCTAATGCAGTGCATCACTTCTCTTTGTTAAGAGGAATTGTAGCTAAACCTTGGACTGCATTTTTATTTTTATTTAATACTAAAACTCAAAGTACATCACAAATACCTGCCATCACTTCCAGACTCTGTAAATGCTAGTACACATTTTTGGGATTCTCCCATTAGACGACTAGACTAATCGTCTTCCTTTAGACGATGGACTAATTCCTGCTGATCTCAGGGAGAACTGGGTGCTCAACCTGCAAGGGATGATCTCGCAACCTGTTTTTCCCTTTGCCTCATTAGCTTTAATATTTCTCCAGCTCATGTGGAGAGGAGAATTTTCACATGGAAAATTAAACAAGATTCAAAATTGCCTGCCTTCCATGTTGTAGTTCTTAAGAGCACATAAGGTTGACTCCTGTAAGCCGATTTCCTTGCATAAAATTAGGGACAGACATCCTTGCAGTCCTTGTGTCAAAAAGTGCAGTAAGACGTCGAAGAATGAGATTACCAGTACTTTTCAATTAGCAAAAGGTCACTGTTAAATGTCCTAGGGAATGTTCATGGCTGATCTTATTAAACTGCATCAGCCTCAACATGTAACAGCACAGTTCACAAGAGCCTTGGCCTCAGCAGAGTGTTCTGTTTTCATTTAGATTTCTTTAGCAGTAGGGAACAGTCAACGCTGCAGTGACCATGCAAGATAACTAAGTCCTTCATACACAGAAATGGGGTGCTATGAGGGTTGGCAGTATCTTTTTTCCTCTCACAGATGAACCATGCCAGGCAGATTTGAGTTGGAAAAAACAAGCCCTGGTAAGATGCTTGGTAAGACAACTGATTTGCACCTTCAATTTGCTAGCAAATGGAAATACATTCAACCCTTCACAGCTTAGGCTAGGTTTGAATTTATCAGATGGGCCAAGAGCCTTGACCATAACTATTTGCTTTCGTGTTGCTACATATCAGCCTTTTACTGTGCTTCACTACTTTATGGCTTATCAATTCATTTTCTGACTTCCCTTTCATTATGGAAAGGAACACGATGCCAGCACAAAGTAAAATCAAAAAAGAAAAGTATCCTTGCTGTTATCAAATCAATTTTCTTTGATTTACAAGATCTCTGGTTGAAGTGTAAACAAAATGTTCCCCTCTCATAACCCTGAAGAACATGCATTTAGATATCACTGTGTTATACTTTAAAGGCAAACAAGGAGATCCAATTTTGATCCTCACTGTCCCAGATCTTAAAGTTATCAGAACTTGGTCCACTTTTGGGTACACACATGATAAGTGAGGAACAAGTTCATTGAAACTGAGAAGTTGCACCAGATGTACAGTGGGTCAACAGAAATCAAGGTCTGGAGGTAGAAGGTAGTGAGATTATGTTTCAGAAGTACTTTGAATTCTGTCTCCCATGGCAGTTAAAGAATGTGTGGTGAGTACAGAAGAATTTGACATTAAAAACATCTTTAGTTACTAACCTTGCAGGATCAACAAACTTGTAAAGAGATCCATGTGGCGCATAGGCACTGGGATAAGAAGTGGACATAAAATACAGCTCACCTAAATGGAAGTGAAGAAAAGCAGTTTCAGGTTCAAGAGTCCAAACTGAAACCCGGTTCCACTTTTCCCTGTTTTCTGTCTCTTCACTAGTGAACATGGTCAGAAAGAGAACCCTTTTGGTTGCTCTCAGTCGTGTCTTACTTCACCCTGCCCTATTGTAGGCTGACTTCTGGGGACAACAAGCGATGTTGCAGCAGTTTCACACAAGAAGAGCAGCCCTCAACCAAACACAGAGCATGAGCAGGGCCTTCATGAAGACGACCTTCTACATGGTTACTTTCCTATGTATAAAGACATGCTTTTTAAAATTGTTTTTACCAAAGAAACATCCAGAAGCTAGAAATTAGAAAGGAAAACTACAAAATTATTTAGCCATCTCTCAGAGGTACAAAAAAAAAAAAATAAAAAAAAGCATGCAAAGGATCTAAACTGGCTATCCATGCAAGGCAAAAGCTGCTTATTACTGTATGGCTGCCAAGGAGAGCAACTACTCTTGATGTCTTTCCTTCAGCACCCATTAAAATAATATCCAGGCAAATTACGGCAACTTGTAAAAGAGAAAAAATTATTGTAGCATTTCAAATTACAGCACCATAATAGTTTCTGAACAGCAACAAGTAGAAGAGACATTTAACATCCACTCATCCCACACTTAGAACAATTAGAAATTGTACATAGTTCATGCTAAAGGCTAAATCTGACAAAATGTGCCAGACAAATGGCCTAGGATCTTTTTCTGACAAGTAAAGCTCTTTTCTGCTAAATCATGAAATCTCTCCCCAGAGCACATCTGAGCATCCCATAAATTTGCTTTGCTTTTTTATGTTGCATAGACCTTTGTCAGGAGACTGTGTAGAAGTAAATGAAGTATGCATTTAATCTCTGTGAAAGTCTTGTCACCATGACCACAAAATATCTCTATGCACTGAGACATTTCCACAGAACTCTGAAAACCAGCCTCTGTTTTCATTGCCAGTAAAATCTTCTGGTCTGTAATCCTAGTGTGAAGTATTGTTGCTTTGAATAGATGGAGGAATTTAAACTAATAAGAGGAAGAGATTCAGATTAACTACAAGAACTCAAGCAAGAATGAATCATGGAATCACAAGGGTTGGAAAGGACTTCAAGAGATAGAGTCCAATTCTCTGCCAAAGCAGGTACCCTACAATAGGTTGCACAACCAGGCCCAGAAGGGTCTTGAATATTGCCATAGAGGGAGACTCCACAAACCTATCTGAGCAGCCCATTCCAATGCTCCATAACCCTTACCACAAAGATGTTCTCCCACATGTTAGTACAGAACTTAAGTTTTAGGCCATGACTCTTTGTCCTATCACTACATATCATGGAGTGATATCATCTGTTTGCCTCCCACCTCCCACTAGACATGAAAAACATTTATCAGATCCCCTCTCAGTCTTCTTTCACCAGCCTAAACTAACCCTGTTCACTCAGCCTTTCCTCATAGGGGAGAAACTCCAGGCCCTTTATCATCTTTGTGGCCCTCCACTGGACTCCTTCGAGGAGATCCCTTTTTAAACTGGGGAGCACAGAACTGGACATTACATTCTAAATGAACTGTCACAATGGAGGAACAAATTGTCTTGATGTAGCCTTTTCATTAATAAAATAACTAATAAAAAAAGGTGTACCATAAAATCAACACCAGTTCAAACTCTGTAAGGAACCTGGAGTATTCCAAGTGAAGTTCACTTGAGGATCTGATTCCTGAGCTTCACAAAGCCAGCCTGCAACAGCTTCACAGGATACAGGACACCTCTGAACCCCTTTCCTGCCACACTGAAATGGCTACAAACCCGTTGTTTAGCACTTACTCTTTAGCAACATTTGTGAGAAGCAGCATAAGTTCAGTGTTTGCCCCAGAGCACAAAACTGACAGTATTATTTCCAATGAAGGTAGGACTGGCAAGATACTCTACCTGCTTCATCCTCAGCAAATGAGATGATGAATTTACTGTAAGATCTGATCATCCCAGGGAAAGCACAAGCTTTTGTGCTGCCAATGCAGATATCTTGCTTCTTCCACCTGTTTGTCTTCTCATCTTCCCGTAAAGCCATAAGTCGACTAGATGAAAAATAAAACTTATATATTTTATCAAGATTTGTTCCTGCCAAAATCATGCATTACTGCCATTGAAGTGTCAGTTAAGATCCCAACTGTTGAGTAGCTTTGATCATCTCTTTCAGAAAAAAAAAAAAAAGCCTGAGCAAAAGCAAACTCATCTTAAGGACCTAACTTGGAAGAAGTTTAGAATCTCACCAAAATGTTGTCACAATGGTTACAGCCCTTAATCTAATATGCAAGTATATTGGGTTCTCATTTACTCCAGTTCTAAAGGTCTCTGCTACATCGTTAAGGTGCATACGTATGCAGAACAGGAGATGCAGAGAAAATGACTCATCTCACCCATTCATGAAATCACCGAAGATATAGAGGCCATTCAGGTTGGGCGATTCACATCCTCTGTACACATAACCTCCAGTGACAGACTTGCCCACATTGCGGCCATAAGCAAATATTGGAAGAATATCATCTGTTAAACACAGAAACACGAGAACAGAGAAATTTATATCCAGAGAGAATCAAAAAGCAGTTGTTCAGTAATACTAACGGGCACAAAGTGACACGAAGGAGTGGAAGAGTTGAATAAATGGCACAGTTTAAACTTCAATGGGGATTCAGTCATTTATTCCAGGATAGAACCAACCCAGGGGCTTTAGAGAGCTCTCTGCAGAAAAGTAGCTACCTGTAGGCAGAAATATCTTACAGATCTGTCACTGCACCACCCAGCAGATTGCCTTTACGAGTTCCTGTACTTCTACAGAAGAGGATAGAAACAAACAATTGCAAGGCAGCTCAGCATCTTCATGGGTTTGCTGCCATTCTCAGAACAGAACATGCATGAATATGTAACCTACAAACAATTTGTCATTTCTGAAGATAAATGCTTTGTTTCAGGCAACATTAATGCTGAATTCAACACTTCTTGAAGCCCAGAATCAGATCCTACAAAATTATGCAGCCTGGGGGAAAAAGTGAAGACAGGACTATATTTCATCTTTGATCTTAATGAGGATACAGATCACAAATGTAGCTCACTAAAAATTAAAGGCAAAATCTAAAGTGGTTTATTTTTAAAAAGAGCCATGAGTACAAGCATAGGAGAGCTGCTGATGACAAATACTCATACTTGTAAATGCAAGTTTGCTCATGCAGATGTTCCAGAAACATCCATACCAGCTTGAGATCAGATGTTTTCCTCCAAGAACTGAAGGAACATTATATAACATAATACCCAGTCCTACTACCATGCTCTACAAAGACCATCAGTATCCACTCTTTGTTGAAGGAAGCCAAGTGAGTCAAGTTTGTCTGCTCACACCCACATCCAGATCCAGAGCACAGAGTATGTGTTCTGCTGGAGCACTCTACTCACTGGGATACACTGGCTCTTTTGTAAGATGTGTTTCATGGTCCCAGCACCAGCCTGGTTGCCCTGCCTTTTCCATAGCCACGCTCAGAGCTTCTGAAGAAATCTCTGAAGGAAACAGAGCATCAGTTTTGTATGTAGACCCAATCTGTTGGGTTCCCCAGGAAAGCAGTCTGGAAAAGCCACAGGCTTTGACCTTAAATTCCACTTTCAGTGTAGGACAAGGAATTCCCTCCCTGAAGGTGGTCAGCATTTCATATCAACACAAGGGCTGGGGAGAAGAGATTTCTGCTTTTAAGTAAACCATCTCCATTCAACAAGGAACTGGATTGTTCAGCTACATGGAAAAGTAATACTATAGCCAACTAAATACAAGTAGTATAAAAATAAAGTAAGCTTCTACGAGAAGCTTCTTCCTTACCCAAGGAGGAATTATGGCAAAGCTTTGTGTCATAGCATTCAAATCCCTCTTTTGCTCTCCAGCCATAGTTTCCTCCTTTAACAATTATGTCCACTTCTTCAAACCTGTTCTGTCCAACGTCTCCACAGAATATCCTCCCTCTTCCCTTTTTTGTGACAGGATCCCCCCGGTCAACCGCACAGCGCCACATATTCCTGACCCCATAAGCATAAACCTCAGGGCGAGCCTTGAGATCAGACACAAAAGGGTTATCAGGAGGGATGCGATATGGCTTGCCATCAGGACCTCTTCCATCCACATCAATCCTCAAGACTTTCCCCAGCAAAACACTCCTAAAGAGAGCAACAGATAAAGACAGATTTACAAGCATGAGTGTGAGAAACAAGTGAAGACACGGACAGTTCCCTCCCTCCTTCCCCAAGGAAAAATTATCTGTTCAAAAGAGTAAAACAACAGCTGGTATGTTTTGCAACTAAATCACAGAAAACTCTTCCACTCTTCTCAGTGAATTGGGTCCCCTCTACTTTCAAAACACAAAATTTTAACTAAGTTTTGTAATTATGAACAAGCACTTCCCAGAAGCACTGTTACTTTACTCTTCCATACTGTCTCATTTCTAAGCCCTGCGACTTCGTAGATGAGCTCAACGTTTTCGCCTGCACTCCTACTTACTTGTTCTGAGCATTCCCAAATTTCCCAAAAGGGTCTCCAGCTTTCCCTCCATCCCCTATGAATAGATACAGATAGCCATCCACACCAAAGAGCAGTTGCCCACCATTATGATTTGCAGCTGGTTCTTCAAGTTCCAAAAGATTCCTGAAAGAAAACAAAATAAATGAAATCCAGATGTAGTTACTGGAAGGAACTGACCATTCAAGGCAGGCCACAGAAGTAGTGCATTCCTACTGTAGAAGAAAGCAAAATCACCTAGCTGTGCAGATTCCTCAGATGCAATGCAAGGGCTCAGCTACACCCCAATTCTTGTGAGCCTGCAGTTTAGAGCTGGCTGCATGCCTTGTAGCAGTGCACTTTACAGCACCCCTTGATGAACAATAACCACAAGCCATGTAGCACACTCCTGCTCCATGTACCACAGCTTTAACCTGCACTGCCTCAATACCTCTAGCACTAGCTGCAGTGCTCACCCAGCACTATAGGCAGAGCAGTGTCACAGCTCACTTGCTAACACAAGCAGAAATACACAATGCGTTCACTAGAGCAAAGAGTTGTTGCCCTGTGAACTCCAATTGTGGAAGCTGGGTTCTGCTTTCTTATATGAAAAGTAGCTGGTGGTTCTAAAGGCTTCAGCACCATCTTTGGAGTATCATATGGTGACTGCAAAACTTGAAAGAAAATAAGTCTGCTATTAACAAGTTCTTCTCTATCACAGAGACTAGTTTTGGCAGGGGGTGGGGAAACATCAGATCAAATGAATGTACAGTACTGTACTGAAACATCCCTGTTCCCCCAGAGCACAAAAAACTTCCAAGGAAAGTTGTGCTTTACAAGCTTCAAGGCTTGAAGTTATTACTGCTCTTTAAAAAGGCAAGAGTACAGAAAGACAGGACAATTCAAAAGTCTGGATCCTGGGTTGTTTTCATGTCTTTTTAGTTTGCTGTGCAGACTTCAGCCAACTTGCCCCATTAGCTTTTTAACAGACCCATTCAACATGGGAACAGTGCCAGTTCTGCAAGGGGGAAAGACAAGAACAGAGAAAAACATTTCTTACCATGGCACACAGTAGCATTCAACATAAACGTTACCTTTCTGAGTGTGGATCTGCTCTGTTGGCATCAGAGGCCAAAACCTTCAATTCACTGATTCTGATCTTTTCCACTTGCTTCTTATCCATATATGAATAATAGATGTAAAATTTCCCATTGTTCTTGTAGTTGGGGTGGAAAGCCATCCCCAAAAAGCCTCTTTCATCCCCTATCCACGGCGTTGCCAGCACGATACTTTTAATATCCAAAAATGGCTCCTCCAGCCGGCTGCCATCAGGTAGGTAGACCCAGATGATGCCCACCTGCTCAGCTACAAACATACGGTGGGTCTGGTCGTTGGCATGCAGCATGAGGACCGGGTTCCTCAGGCCATTGGCAACCTCGGTAAGGCAGAGCTGGAGGCAGCCCCTGCGGTCCTCCACCACTGAGCCCAGGTTGCGGTTGAGGGCCGTGTTCCTCAGCACGTTGGGGAAGCAATAGTCCTCGTCATGCAGGCGAAGGAGGTTGCAGAAGCGAGTCTTATTGGTCTCACAGCATTCTTGAATGTGCTTATCACTGGTGAGCAAGCTGATGGCAGAGCGGCAACTGAAATGAAACTCAGAGCAGTAGTCGAAACAAAGTCCTGGAAGCTTTCTGAGAGGCGTCCTGGGGTTTTCAGCATCATAGAGATGTGCAGCATACGGAGAACATTCCTAGAAAGTTAAAGAATGCAGTTGTGCACACATCTAGGAAAAGCCAAGGCTCCTCCTTGTAGAAGCAAAGCAGTTAAATGAAAAATTAATACGGTAGAGAGCACAGTGAGTCATCTTTGGAGTAGTAGAAAGCCACTCAATATAAAGCTAAAAGGAACTCAGAGCTCACTAGCAGTTTCCTTCAGCAAAGCACTATCAGCTGCACCTAAGTTACTCCCAAAAGAAAGACATCTATTTATGCTGTGGAATCCTCCATCACTAGAGGCTCCTATGGATTTAAGAGATTTTTCTGTCAATCTACTCTGACCTCTGCTATTAGAAGTTTCCCTTTGTTTCATCTGCTAGATTTTAAGCTATTAGAAGTCTCCCTTTGTTTCATCTGCTAGATTTTAAGCTAGGCTTTTTATTCTCTGTCTGTTAAAAGCAGGTTATGTTTGCTAACTTGCTGTAGGGATCGTTTGCTCTGCTCTCCCACAAGAAAAAAGTGACAAGGAAAGAGGCACTGATCAGCTCAGTAGGCTGTCAGTGAGCAGTTCTGAAGAGATGCACAGGAGCAGGATGACAGCATGACAGAGGTCTGTGAAAGTCTTGAGACGTTGTAATGATGAATGAGCATTGCTTGTTCAACCTCTACCCCAGAAGAAAAATGAGAAGCGTCAGATAAGATTAGCAGGAGACAAGTTAGAAAAGGAAGCAAAATACTTTCTTTGCCAGAGAAAATTGCAGTTACTAGAGATGTACACTGGCTCACAGCAAGACTAGATGACCGAATGGAAGAGAAAACCACTGATGATTGAGTGCCAAGAAAGTCACATGTGATTTCAGAAGTGCCTGAGCTGAAAACAACTGGAAGCTAGGAGCACATTCTGTGCATTCACCCTCCTGTTACATGCTCCTCCAGCAGCTTTTGGCTACTTTCAGACAGGACACTGGGCTGAATTGGTCTGATGCTGTACAACTTCAACTACATTCTCACATGCATGAAAGTACATAAATCTCAATTGTGGTTGAGATTTAGAACTATTCTGAGAAAATGAATCTCATCCTATGCAATTCATGTAGCTACCATTAACTCCATATGCAATCTTCTGCAAAAAAATAACTGCAAGAAATGCTTTCAAATACTGTGCATCTGAAACTCCTCTCATCTGTCATTAGCATGTGCAGTAATAAAAAAATCAAGCAGTAGGCTTGAATTCGTTACTATATCCAAATTCACCATCTTGCGAAAAAAAAAATGTGGCCAGAACTTCCATAAAACATTTATTGAAATCTCACCAATTTATATTAGTCAGTAAAAAACTTTTATTAATTTAAAATTTATTTTTAATTTAATTTAAAAGCAAAGGAGCTGCAGACAGATTATTTTACTGGTTTTCATGCCAGCAGCCTAAAATAATCTGTCCAGAGTTTTTATTGGTCAGATACGTTATAGAATCATTCAAGTAGGAAAGACCACCAAGTCCATCACATCAACCATCAGCCATCTGCACCATGCCCACTAACCACATCCCTCGGTTAGGGGTTCTTGAACACTGCCAGGGATGGTTACCACCTCCCTGAGCAGCCTGTGCCAGTGCCTCACCACTCGTACCGAGATTTTTGTTGTTGTTGTTATATTCAACCTGTTCCTCCCCAGCACAACTTACAGCCACTACTTCTCACCCCATCAGTGTTAACCAGGAGGAGAGGCTGACCACCACCTCACCACAACCTCCCTGCAGGAGCTGTAGAGAGCAGTAAGGTCTCCCTGATCCTCCTCTTCTCCAGACTGAACAATTCCAGTTCCCTCAGCTGCCCCACGTAAAGCTTGTACTCCAAATCCTACACCTGAAAGTAGCTACACAGACAAGCTCAAGAAAGGAGAATTATTACACTAGTATCTTTACTGCTACATTAAATAAATCTGCTTAAACAAAATTGAACATCCCTTACGCTCCGCAGAAACTTCAAGGATTAGATGGCCTTACAGTAGTTACTGTGAGTCTGCCTTCATTTTGCTCAAGTGTGTATGGAACAATAGAGTTAATCCAGCTACACTACAGAGCAGAATCAGCAGAAGCTGCTGAGATAATATTAATAACTCTTTGCTATTTTCTAATAGCTTGCCTGCAAAAAGAGTGTGCATTCAGCAATAAAGCGAGGCCTGAGATTTAAAACTCCCTTAGAAGTGTGATTGTCTGTACTTCCTATCCCATGCTATGTTTTCCTATTCCATACTCACGGCTTTCAATCAGCTTTAAAAAGGCTTATTTTGCCTTCGGTTTATTTTTTGGTTTTGCTTTTTCCAGCCTCTCCTTCAGCAGCTTCCTGAGCACAGAAACATCCCCTCAGCCAGCAGCCAAACAGCTGTCCTAGCACATGGAGCACGGTTTGCATCCAGGGAGATTTCACAGCCTTCAACTTGAACAGCACCATCTTAAGAACATTACAGGCAGTTTTCAGAGTTTCATTTTCCATTTTTGGGCTAAATCCTCAAACTTCACAGCTGAGTGTCAGACTCAAAAAGCTACCAATGCTTACAGCACGCTTAGCTAGCAGAAATACCGCAAAATGAAGCAACTCTATCAGCAAAGACAGATGGCTTTAGAGTCTGCTTGGAAACCTCCCCAAGTCAGTTATCAAGAGAAACAAAGTAGGTTTAGAGTTACAGCAGGAAATCCGTGGTCCTGAGCACATCCTCATTGAATCCTCTTCTGTCTTCAAAGGAACACAGCTCATTGCAGAGGTAAAATGCACTCTGTGGCATTGTGCCTGGGCTCTGCAGGACCGCTGAGATTGCTGCAGCAACTACTAATTATTGTGATGCTGTGGAGGTAGTACAATAAAGACTACTTTCCATCCCTTTCAGGTGAGATCAGTAACAATTTGATCCAGCAAAATGACATTGCTTAAGTGAAATCACTCTGTAGATATTTGCTTCTCCACTATTTCAACAGCCAAATAACAATTGTCAAAAAACTCAACATGGTTGTGACAGCACAAACAGGAAAAAACTTTACAGGAGCAGCAAGATGTAACAAACCCAAGTTCCTCCCCATCAAATAATGAGCAAGTGAATTCCAGAAAAATAAAGAAAGCCATAACTTACTACTTTGAAAAGTGTATGTCTCAATTGAGGAGAAGGACTCTTGCTACAAAATATGTTTATAAGAAATCCAAACTGAAATCACACCCTGAGTGAAAAACCTAAATCTGAAGAGGAAATAGCCACGTTTTTACAGCGTTTCTTTTCTACTTGGATCATGCAGAAAACATTTGTAACACCAACGCCGGCCATCCTGCCAGTACCTGCAATGCACTGCTTGCTGGTTTACTGACTGTAAAGTGACAAACAGAACCCTGCTGTTACTCTACTCAGCCCGAATGCTGAGTTCTCATCCCCCATGCAGATGCCAGCACCTTGACAGCATCCAAAAGGATGGTAACATTTTGGTACACAGATGAAGTTTTAGGGCAAAGGAAATTTTAACTAGGATAGTTTTATATGTTCCTAGTAAGAAGTGTGGCTTTTGGCTGCTTGGTCTTTTGGCATGCAGTAAGTGCTGCTCTGCATGACTAACAACTGTTAAAAAGGAGCTCAGATCTGTTCTTTAATTAGGGGGACAGAGAAGGAGAGCTCAGGGAGAACAGAGCAGTGCCTGTGGTCTTTTGTCACCACACAATGCCTGCTTCTGTGAGGCAGATGGACATCATGCAGACAGCACCAATAGAAAGAGCAGCTGAAGACTCAGGATTTTGCTGCTGCTGCATGAACCTACTTCCTAATAAACTGCTGTACTTCTAACCACCATTTGAAGCATCCTCAGCAGGATCATAATCAGGATATCTCCTTCTTGTGATCCAGGGATCTAAGTGCTTTGCCTGATAATTCTTGCATCATTTCATCCTGTAGAATTTGTAGTCCAGAACCTACTAACTGCCAGCAGAAAATAAAGTACTGACCTATAACTCTCCCCTTTGCTACAGGAAATCTAGCAGAGCAGCAAGATTCCCATCATCACCTGAATCGGGCAAAGCTTTCGTAAACCATTACTGCTATCAAATGTCACTATATCTTGCCAAAGCACTTTGCTAAATGCATGCTGAAGATGTGATGCCATTACTCTGTCCACCTACTTCTCCCATGCTCCCTCACCTCTTCTCCCAGCAGGACATCCATAACAGACTATCAGAACTACAACTGACCCCAAGTAAGCCCAAAACATAGGACAAAGCTACAGATTTTCCACCCTACCTGACAGAGAATATCTTTGATATATGTTCCACACAGCTTATGCCCCCGAGGATCAATATAATCCAGGATCTCATGGTATTTTGCTGCAATGCTATTGTCTCTCTCCCGGTCACAGCAGCCAAAGTTTTCATAGGCAGAGCAGAACTCCAGGTGGAAAGGAGGCTGGAAAGGTGGCCCATAATCCAGACATTGAGGGTGCCCTAGGACATTGCCTATGCAGCAGAACAAGGAGAGACAAAGACAGACACATGGGCAAGAAAAGGAAGCTCTAGAGCTACTGCTTCTCCTTCCAGTGCCTGGCCAAACATTCACTTTCTTCAGTGTAGGCTTCCTGAGGTCAGATGTATGAAAATCCTGGACCTCTGGTTCATTCATTCTCTCCGCTTTATTAATTGCCAGCCACAGAGCTCAACATTCACTCGCTCAGGTTTGCTTACATTCCCGCTCCCTTTTTCTCTGAAGTTTACTATTTGGCTGGAGAGAAACCTTCCAGCCTGCCCCTTTGGTATTTCACACGTCACATGGCTGAACACTCCCCCCTGGATATTTCTCACGTCCCTAGGAGCACTCACAAATCTAATCCCCACAGCTTAGTTAAATTAACTGAGCAATCATTCCCCAAGAAATACAAAGATGGAAGCGTAAGTTATGATTGTTACATACAGAACAGGATAACCTCTCCATTAGCAAAACAGAAGATGAACAGTTTCCAATTGCTATCACTTTGAATCTGGTTTGAGACTGAATAAGAGTAAGTAATAATTTAGAATCAAACAGAGGAGGCAGTAGCTAACCATGTGTACAAGTCATTCCAGGACAGGACCATTTTACAGAGGTACTGCTGTTACCCACAAGCCTAGGTGGGAATTAACATGAAGAGGTACTCAAAAGAGTGAAGGAGAAAACAGTTCTAAGGTACCAGAACCTGAAATTGACTGCATTATGTGGCAACCCTGTACTTAAGCTGATTGACTTTAGTGATGCATCTTGAAGACGGTTTAACATCACATTAGATTTTTGTCCACTTTTCTCTCTTGTGAAGAACATGCAGTGCTTCTCCCAGTTGCCTGGTACAGCATCAGCTGCACGCGCACTGTGCTTGCACACACTGCCCTCAGTCTGGCATTCCGAGGACAACACTTGTCTCACTCCTCATTCCTTCAGCATTGAGCTCTTCGTGTTAACTAACCTCGTCCACCAGTTTGAACTTTTCCTGTTAGAACTTAAACCTCCCTCCTCCTTCCCTAGAGATATGCCATCTGCAGACAAAACAACCCAGAATATTTACATATGCAGAGAACTTCACTTCCAAGTTAATGCACAACAGCAGAGGCAACACACATCACTGCTTTCACAATGAGGTGAGAAAGCCACAACAGTTTTACTTGCATTTAGATAAGGACAGAACACGATGTCCCACAGAGGACATCTACTGCTCGCTTTACCCAAACACTCTTAGCTGAAGAAAAGCCCCACTGCAAACATACCATCTCACATCACTCTAAATGCAACCAGACAAGACTGAGTGGAACTTCCCATTTACCATCACAGATAAGAACAACTATGGAAAGCCCTAAAGGACTCCAAATTCAAAGCAGTATAAAGCACACCAACACTGGTTCTGCAGGGACTAGTCCAAGGGTAGAGTACAGATCTGCTTAGTGCTGACACCTGTGTAGTGCTGACAACGCGCCTACAGTGCTCCAAATGCAAATCCAAGTCTTGTGCAAGTGTTTGGAAATGAAATTCCAGAACAGGAGATGGAATATCTGAAGGACAACACACTGGGCGCGTGGACCAAGAGATTTGGATTCCCTTAGCAAGTTCCTTGCTTCAACATAAACGAGGCAAGGAAAGATTTGCTATTTGCTTCATGGAAACACCTCACAAGTTTTGTATGCAGGATGAGGAATCAATTCAGAAGAAAACCAAACCTTGACCACAGAATTCAGAGCCAAGGCAGAAGATTCCAATGCACTAGGAGTCAACATATTCAAAGTACAATGCACAGGCTTGAGGACACAGTATGGCATTCAATAGCGTGAATAGGAAATTCCACTCAGGACTTGAGATTAACAAGTTTGGTTTTTTCTTTCAGGTGCAAGTCCTACACGTAAAGAAACTTGTGATTTCCCATAAGGCATGAAAGTAATACTCAAGACTGTCGTGCAAAAACTAGTACCATGCTCATCTTCCAGTGCTGACTGCAGCTCTGCAGTTCCCTTCTGTCACTAGAACATGATCCCTGGCAGCAATCTTGTTCCCAGAGAAGGTGACAGGAGAAAGCTCTGAGCACAGTGGATTAACAGATTTTTTCAAAGACATCAACTCCTTCTTGTTCTCACATTCTTACTGCCACGCGAAACTCTGCTGCTGTCTCACATTTTTTTCCCCCTCTTTATCAAAAGGGTGTACATGGTTCCCACAGGCAGCTAAGGGGACATAAGAGGAATGAGCATCTAGTTTTGTAACTCTGTGTTAAGTCATACGATATCAACTCATCTGCACACCAGCACAGAGATGAGGGAAAGTGGCACAGAAGACAAATACTATCAAAACACACCCAGGCCCACCTCCAGGAAGTCATCTGCTCTATCAAAGGCCCAATTCCGAAGCCCAGAGGAGCACAGTGTCAGGCAGAAATCCAAATTAAGGACTCCAAGGAAGGGGCATCCTGTCTGGTCGCCTCCCAGGGCTGTCCCAGGAAAGCCCCACTGTCCATGCACAAATCCCATCAAGATGAATCACTGCACACAGCTGATAGGATCACCCTTTGGACTAAAGGGAGCTGCTTCCTGATGGTGTGGGATACTTCAATAGAGGCAGAGCATTTTGAAACAATCAAAATTCAACTTAAGACCCATAATAAAGCAGTAGATCATCACAAAACAAGGCAGCAGCCTTCTTACGAAGACAGAAATAAAGAAGCGGTTATGGAAAGTAGTTTGCCCTGTTCAAATACTCAGAGCACATCACAAGACCCAACACTAACCTAGACTAAACTCCCAGATAAACACTCATCTATTAAAAGCACAGCTGAACTTATCCATATAGTACTACACTGTTAAAGACATCTTTATTCATTCCCAGTGGTGGCTCAAGCCAGCCACCCAACTGAATTCTACAGAGCTGTCATTAAAACAGAAGTAGTACTTGGAAAGATTTTTGTTGTTGTTTTTAAATGAATTGGAACGCTAGTTTGTGACAACACATTAACATTTCCTTTCCAAACACAGCAACAGTGTGCATTTCAACTCACGGGCAGGACTGCAGAAGAGGCTCTAGCAATCCTCTTTGCAGCTCGTAACGTTTTCAGTAGTTCAGTGCTGTTTCTGAAGCTCTGCAACACCAGCTTTCCCATTACCACAATACAGCAGCAACCCTACCTTCAGCTCCCCCCCCCAACAATATGAGGACTGCCCTTGAACAGGACACAAGCCATGAATACAACGCATGGAAACTGACTAGGGTATGTCAAAATGCCTCAGCTATGTGAACAGGTTGCTTCATGGCCTATATATCAATATACAATGGAAAGAGTGAAGTACAGGCCTCTCAAATTTCCACGTATTTCAGGAAATCAGCCATAAACAGTAAGTTATGCAACACTTGTAGTGAGAAACTTGCTTCATGCTGCATCACACACTGTTTGTAGGTTAAAGCATCCCACTTATGATTGCCACAACTAGCCCTGAGTGGGTTTTGAGCCACATTCCAGCAGCCATTTAAATCAGCATCCATACAAGTGAACATAAGAGCCACCCTACAATATCAGAGAAACTCTATACCATAATTACCAAGTAGTTCTCAAAGTATGCATGAAATTACTGATGTTTGCATTTCACAGAAATCAAAAACTAACTTAGAGAAATTCTTCAGCATCATCCATTGATTTACATAATTTTATTATGAAATAAATACAAACCTAGTGCTTTTAACAGAACAAAAAAATCTACTAGAGTTGACAGTTTCTCTTTAGAGTAGATTTTAGACTAATGCCAATACAAAAGCCAGTTTCACAAGGGGAAAAAAATGCAGCAAGACCCTTGAGGACACCTTTTAATCACAGCTGTACAGAGGAATCTCAAAGACCAGATATGCTCAGGTAGGCACTGCTGTGCTTATTCACAAACTTCTTGAGTGTCCGAAACCTTTTCACCTGAGCTTTGCAGCCATGGTGCGACACGTATTTAAAGTACTTGCAATCTAAGCAAGAGAAGAAAAAGTAATGTCAGCTTTACCACAATGCAAGCAAACAAAATACTTCTACTTTTTAAGTAACATGCAAGTATGCAAGTACTCTATTTCAGAAGGCAATAAAACAATCCAAGACATGCACATTACCAACATAACTGCAGCACCAAATTACTGAGAGCTGAACAGGCTTTCAACACAAGAAACTGTTCTACAAAGTCTGGAAGTTAAAAGAATGGAAATAATAAATCTTCTAACTAACTGAAGGCCCAAACTTACAGATAGATTATGCTCTCACACCATATTCTCATTCTTAATTTTGTCACCACTTCCTGGTCAGACGTTCTAACTGGTTTCAGCAACATTTCAATGAATACTACCTCAAAAGTCCTGACATTCACTTTTTTATTGAACTGTCACTAACTTCACTCAAGACCTCCTTCCTCCTCTTTTCAATGTTATCTCACTCACAAGATCCTTAAGGACCACCTAATCCTCAGTATTTGCTAAGACACTGCTTAGACTGTAGCCCGGAGAGCAAACTTTCTGTATCCCTCACAACATTCACTCAGGATCCTGCTGTATATTTTTGAAATTGTGGTTTCAAGGTTATAAACAGAGTCTGTGGTATTGTGACTGCTCAACAAGGCCAAGTAAAATTGAACTCAAACCCAGGAGAAGGCAAGTTATGCAAGCTAGGTCTCTTAGAGAGGAACATCAAACTGTTTTAAACATTTTTCTCCCATTTAACTTCAAAGACCACAATCTTCCCTAGAAGAAAGAAACAGCATTTCTTCCAGGGAGCAGAACAGATGCATTTTATCTCATTAGGGCTAGAACTAGATGTTATTTCTAGTGTATGTAGTGAGAAAGAACATTTAGTATTACCCTTTCCTAGAAGAACTCCAGCCACCAGAGCTTTTTCATACGAAAGGCTTTCATTTTCCTGCCAATTGCTCTTTGCTAAGTAGCGGCTAAAATGGAAGGCTGGCCACCAGTCCTTCCTGGAGCTCCACTCCTGCTTAATCCAGTCAAGATGCTTCTCAGAACTGCAAAAAGGTAAAACAAGAAAAATTGAGATGAAATAGTGAAGAGGAGGCACTGAGCTTTACAATCAGCTTGGTATGTTAGCAGACTTTGACACTCCACTGCAGACTGTTTAAGCAGCAGTATTTAAAGAAAACTTTGGGTTAATCTATGCATAATCAAACACTACTGTATTGCAAATACTTACCTTATCCCATTATCTTCAGCACTGAAGACCTTACAGTACATCAGAAATGAAAACAATCTATACACCAGGGAAGTGACCACAATGCCCTGTATTTCAAGGTACTCTGAAGCTGTGTCCTCAAAAACAAAACTGCGAAGTTCAAGCATTGTACCATTTTACCTAACCGTATGCAACAACATCCCCAGTTTTAACCCATTAACTTCTGGACCTTGTGCATAGGTAGTTGCAGCAATAAAATAGCAAAATGGTCAAACAGTACTGAATTGATTCACCATAAATATGCAAGGCTTAAAAAAAACTAAAATCTTTTTTTTTGGAAAAAAAACCCAGACATTAGAGATCTTCTGGGCATGGATTGCCTGGAGATGGGACTCCTTCTGAAATCAGAGTCCTCCTCTGAACACATAAGCAAGTATGTATCAATCCCCAGGCATCTGACTTAGCTGTTAAGAATACATTGTATTCTGTAAGTTACCAACAAAGGAGAACACATCACACCATGACCCCTTCGCAGTCCACTGATGCCCAAACCTGTTACAGTCAATGTATGTTTAACAGCAAAGACCAAACTATTGTTTTTCTCCTGGAAGAAGGAGAACAGTGACAAGCAGTAAATGTTATCCAGACATTTGAACAGCATTTTCTGCATAAACACGACCTGGTAAAAACCTTTTTCAGCTAATGATTACAGTGAAAATTTAAGAATTGCCCTTATAATAATTTCTTCTAGCCTGCCACTGAAAGCACCCTGCAGCCAAGCACAGCCACAGAACTCAGTACAGGCCAGCCCAGTATTCCACCTACCAGCATGAAAGACAAAGGTTACAAAAGAATCACTTTGTCAATTGTCCAGAGGTGGAGATTTGACACACAAGTTCCTTTCTTAGCACTTTACATCAGTTACACTTACATTACAATTTGTTTCACCTGTCTTGCCAAGCAACTCCATGCTTTTACATTTTTCTTCCAGCCAGCATAATCCAAGACTGCAAAGATAACTTCTAGCCCCAGTCGACGTCTTTTTCGTTTCTCTGGAAAGAGATTAGGCTGATTAATGAATTAGCTGGATTAATCTGAACTCACTAGTAAGTAACAATTAAAATATTCTCCAAACTTCCTTCCCACATACCGCTGCTTTGTCTATCACTGAGGGCTCCCCCCACTGCTTTCTGCCTCTTCCAAAAGAGAAAGTTAAGGAAGTGTTCATGGGTCTAGAGCACAATTCACAGCAGAGACCCTCCTTAAATGCTGCTGACTCAAAGAGGCACACAAGACCACTCACTTATCCCACACTGCCTTGCTTACAACAGATGCTGCTGTTATAATCACTGCTTCCAGCCAGTGCTGTTGTTCAACACGTTCTTCCTATGGGAAGAGAACACAGTGCCCTGGAACGTTTCAAGTCCTGAGATATCAAAACAAAGAAATTGGACTGACATGAATAGAACAGGCATTTCACAACAGCAGCTACTATACCAAAGGTGTTCTTAAAAACGACCTACCACAGCAGGTAAAAGCTGGAAATATTTACCAGTGTAAATTATTACTCCAAAAATCAGATTGCTCTCAAGAGCTACAAGAATTTAACAAATGAGTCATGTGTGAACAGAAAAAGGGAGGTTTCAGCCAAAAGGGATTTTTATTTTTCACACAGAGGAACAACAGAAGAGAATAATTTTGATTCCCAGACATTCTATCTATCTGCATACATATCTATCTATCTGACTTACATACCAGGTTGCAAGAAGATGCCCATTTTGGAAAGCAATGGATCGGCATGGAAAAGCAGTCTCCAAATGAGAAGACTTTTTTCCACCAGCTTGAAGATAAAACTCACCAGTAGATGCTATTCTTTCAATACATAACAAACCAATGCATAAATCCATTTCAAATCCTCCACAAAAAAGGCCCCTCCAAATGCAAATACTGTTTAGCATTTAGAACAGCGTACCTTGGAAGTAGTGAAACTAGCATTCAGACTAGTGCACCTCCAAACAACTCATTTTTGAGGTCCTGACCGTGCATTACGACCTACTGCTTGGTCAGCCTTTGAGCTCTGAAAGGTATTTGTTCACACGAGCCTGTAAATACCTACTTGTCTGCATTGAATGTTTTTCTGTGATCAGAAAGTCAGGCTGGGATTTTTCTTATAATAAGTACAACTACTTCAGTAAAAGAAGGCTGTAGAACAATTATATTCTAGATTAAACATAAAAGAGCAAATAAATTTAAAGACTTACTTGATTTTTGAAGCATAGTATTAAAATGTATCATTAGTTCATGACAGGGAACAATATCATGCAAGATCTGGAAAAAAACAACACCCAAAACATACATTGAAATAATGTGAAAGCTTCCAAATGTTTCTACTGCATCCAAAGCAGCAATGTCTTCAGAGCTCTTTGGTGCCTTAGGAAAGCTGTGCAATCAGGTAACCCAATTGCCTTGATACAAAGAATGACTATCAAGAGCTAATTTGCACATCTGTAACACTGCTTGGTGACACAGCACAAAAAATGCCCTCATGACTACTAAAAATCCTGCAACAAATGCAACCTTCCCAGGAGCAGCCCATACCACTGTCTTTTTTAGAAAACTACATTCCTTCATTCCTACACCTCTTCTAGCTCCCATCTACTGCTCTGTGCATTTGCAGGATGTATCAGACCAGTTCTCAGATCTGCCACTATCTTATAAGATAAAATTAAGTCTATAAAATTAATGCTAAAAAAAAAAAAAATACTGTGAAGATGAAACTTTATATATACAGGCTGTCATCTAAGTCTAAACTTATGAAGCTGTTTTGAAACCATTTGCCCAAACAAAAGCATTTTAGTGCCATCAAGTGGCAAAAGAGATTCAAAAACATTGCTGGAAAAGTTATCAGCGTGCAAGGGCAACAAAAGAGGGAATCTAAAAGCAGATACACAAAGGGCCACGACGCAGCAGGGCTTTTCCTGACAGCCAGAAGTAAACTTCTACTGAACCTTAAGTTCACTGCTTACTGAGAACAACAAAACTAACTGCTGGACAGAATTGGCATGTGAGAAAAGCAAGTACCTAATCGTTCATTCAATAAAGATCAAACTACAATGGAAATCAATGCATGTTTATATACATGCACTTCCTGAGCCATGAAAAATTGATCAGAGCTTGTTTACTGAGCTTTTGATGCATCAGTTTCACAGTGACAGCAAAGACAGTAAGATACACTATTTGCTCCACCTGTTAGAACACCCTTCCCAACCCTTTGCTTCCCACAAAAAAAATACAGTAAGGCAAATACTACAACAGGAGACAACTGAACCATCAAAGCACCATGCAAAGTGAACAACCACAGACTGCATTTACAGTGTTATATATACCTTGAGTGCAGATATCAGTGATTTCTTTGGTGCACCATGTCTCTTTAAGAACTGATAGAGGTAAACATGAGCATTGGGATTTGCAGGAAACTTTGAGTTGTAAGCATAATCCGTTAATACTTCACGAGCTTCTTGGTGGTCTCCATAGAATTCCAACAGCTAAGAAGTTAAGCTTGTCATTAGTTTGCTTCATGTTAGCAATTAAACTTCTTACAGTTCATTCTAGGCTGCTACAGAACTATCCAACAGCACCATAGAAAACTGGATGCGAGTTACACTGGAGTATTTTAATTTTACTGGTTACCTTTAACATAGGTAGCTAAAAACTGACACATAGAAACAGCTACAGAAGAAAATCACATTTGCACTTCCCTGCTCGTGAAAGAATTATCATCATTCCTCACTGGAAAAAAAAATTGAAGCAGACTGCCATGTCTTTGAAGAGAACTCAGAGAACTTGGCAGCCAGCAGCACCTAGTAAAATTCCATAAGAAACACTCAAAGAAGTCAGAGCTCGTCTGCACTGAGAGTAAATCTTCTCAATTTTAAGATTAACTTTATTTATTAGTTAAAATTTGTAAGTAGATACTTAAAAAAAAAAAAAGACTGCATGTTTGGTGTTCAAGATTTAGTGCCACCAGGAAAAACATTGCCCTGCCAAAAAGACAACTTGCTTTCAGGAATTTAAACAAAGCAGCTGTGCTCCAATTTCTCTGCTAGCACCAGGAAAACAGAATGTGCAAGTTGGATGTCTCTTTTTCTTGGCAGCCCACAGATAAAGCTCTTTTTGTACACTATGCAGGCCCTACAGTCCCACAAACATACCTAAATCAAAGCTAGTGGGATATCATTACATATGTTGTTTTTAAAACTACTTGTCATCCACACACAGCTGAACTGCAGACTTGCATCTAAATGAAAATGAGACAAAGAACCAAAAGAGACAAAAGGAAGAGACGTATAAAAATACGCTCTTACATCCACATAGGGTTTCACAAAGAGATCCCAGACTCCAGGTACTTTAATGATCTCCTTTAAGTTCACTGCTGCCTTCCGAAAGGAGCCGTGCATTTCCTGTTCAACAGACAAGTCTTCAACTCCATCCTTCTCTGTGAAAACACGAAGGAACGCCATAGTTAGCTTTATCAGCTCAGAAATATCTTGAAGTGGTATATCTACAGGGTGATCACATCTTGCAAAGCCAGGGCTCCAGTCAAAGCTTTTTAAGAAAAAAGGCTTCAGATCCACCAGTACTGGAACAAGAGATTTGCATTGCTCTGTATCCCAGCCTACAACCAAACTCATGATGGGCAGTGTTCTAAGATACCAGTATAAAGTCTGTTTATCTTGTCAAATAAACAAGTAGAGATTCAGCCACGCAGCCAGCAGGTGTATGCTGAATTAGATGCCACATCCAAGTGGCAACTTCTGCATGTTCACCTTTCAAAAAAAAAAAAAAAATTGGAAAACTCAATTTTGGGTGGCTTCTGTTAGCTCTCAAAGTTCTAGCAGCAGTACAAAGAAGTCACTGATATAGATGAAAACATGCCTTTGATGATTGTTTTAGGTGATGCTGAGTACAAGAATTGTACAAGAATTGAGTGATGCTGAATACAAGAATTATGATTCGGGGTGAAAACACTGCTTTGTTTCAGAACAGTATTCCAGGACACTAGAAAAGTGCATGTTAGTATTCTATTTTGGCACCACCATTGTTGCAGGATTATCTGTATACCATCAAAACCCAAAGCTTCTGAAGACTAGTACTTCCTTTTAGTGCCTTCATATGTAAATTCAGACAGAAGAGCAGCCTATGTGGAAATATGACTGCAACAAACAGTGATGCCTGCAAGAGTAAATCTACAGCTCAATACAAAAGCAGAATTTGGACTTACCATATTCTAACAGTATGTTCTTCTGATTGGACCAGGTATAGTAGTCCAGCAGTCCTCTGTAAGCCTGAATCAGCTTCATTTCTTTATCCTGAGCAACTGTTCGTTCTCCAAACCTCCAACTCTCTGCCAGCAACAGGTTTTGGTAGGCTTCGTCTATCCGTCCATTACAAAGGAGGTGAAAGGCGTGCTCTAAACAAACCTGCAATTCAAGCAGTCCATACCACAGTATTTCACATCATAACTCGAAAGAATCTCAATAATATAGCAAACATCTGCAAGGAAGCGAAAGGGAAGAGACACTCATTACTGACATCAAAATAAAAAACACAAACATGGCAAAATATTTTTATTAGAAGCAAGTTTTACACATTGTTTTATTCAAACTGTATATTCATAGGGAACTTTGGCAAAAAGCAAGAATGGGAGAAGGCAAGTTGTCACTAGGGGACTGAAGTAGGCACCAAGAACTTAAGTAATTTTTTGCTGTTTGAAGATGGTGTAGAAAGATTATTATAAGGTTCTTGAAATCTGCGTGGGTGAAAGTCATCAGTCAGATAGTAAACTTCAGCTGTACTTATTATTATCAAGGCAGCTGAAAGCACATGGCCCAAAACCTCACTTGTCATTATTAAGTGCTGAATCTATTTCAGAAGAGCTAAAAATGACCTGAAGAAACCTAGTAGGTTACGCTCAGTTTCAGTTTGTTATGCAACTGCCAAACACCTAAAAAAAAGAATACCCAACCACACTATCATATTGATTAGGTACTGGATGAGAGTCTAAGCTTTCAGTTAGCAAACTCGTGTATGGAACTAGTGTTGGAGGACTTTGAACAAATACAACAGACTGAAAGACAGAAACATCAGAAATCAGAAACAGCCAAGGAAACCAAAACAATATAAGTTTGAATAAGTCATCATCGGAAAAGAACTGGGTTCTAAGTGACACAGGTGTCCCCAGAATAAGCTTTTCTATTTTATACACAAATTAGCTACTTGAAAAGCGAGCAAAGTTTAATTACAGCTGTTTGACCAGGAGCACAGGGGTCAAATTAAGGACTGGAAACAAGACTTCACAGGTATAATCAGCCATTAATGGGGCATGTATGAAAATGAATCTACAGTTTGAAGAGTAATTAAAGAATCTAAGCATTACTGAAAGCAGGCAAAAATGTATCATCCAAATGAGATGTGGTCAGCTATGGAACAGCCCTTGAAACATCACACAACTGGTCACTCAGTTACACTATCTTTTTTGACACTATTGCCAGTGATATTTCAAGAGAGCTTTCAGAAGCAGTAACACTCAGATAGATGTTCAGGTAAATGTGTGGAAAAACCATCAAGACTGCATTAAGTACACTCACCTTCAAATACCTTTTTACTCCTAAAGTTTTCATCTGTTCTATGAAAGAGTTGAATTCTCTTATGTTCCTGGGGGAATGATTACACAGAATTTCTGTTCCTATTCTCCAAATCACCTATTGATATGGGGGAAAAAAAAGATGCAAAAAAACTTTAGTACAAAAGTGGGAGCAGTCACCATATTACACAGATTTATCAAGACTGTAATTACTGTAACATATGAATAAAATGTACATCTGCATTGCAAATAAAAAGTGAGTATTGTGCTGTCTACTGTTACAGTTACACACATTAATCTAGAGTTTTGTTGTTTCTTTTTTAAACTGACATTCTATGCGTGCTTCACAACTGCTCATTATAAATACAGCACATCAGCAAAGCTTATGAAAACCATATTTGCTACCTCTCTTCCTACTAAAAACAATATGCTTCAAAGTTATTGAAAATTTCTGCTTCCCTTTTACTTGTTCCCACTGTGATGTAACACACACAATTCTTAAATTTAGCAATAAAAATTGTTCCCAATCAGATGTAGCTCCTCCATCAACATAATTTGTTTTCAAGGCCTGCATGCAGAAGGCAATCAAATCAGTTCATTTACCAACATCATTTGATTCCCTTCCTGCTGCTTCTAGCTCAGTACCTGCTTAGGAGTTTTCAAAGTACTGTAAGAGCTAGCACAGAATTCAGTGAGCCACTGGCTTTCAGATTCTGATTGATGGCATGCCAGTTGCAAACATATTCACTGCTTCTCCATTTCAGAAGACTACATGAAGAACAATTTCTGTAGATATGCTACTGATGGAATTAACTTATCTTAAGCCAAGTTTTCATCTGTCGTGCTATTGACCTCCGTAAATAAATTGAAAAAGCAAACAAACAAAAAGCAAGAATGACCAAAGAACCCACAACACACCAGTCTGTAAGCTTAGAGAACTTTTCAGAAGTACAGCCAGAAACGATACATCAGAGAGCACTATAGATCCACAGCAGCCCTGACAGGGAGATCTCAGCAAAATCCAGGCTCCAGCAAGATCAGCTAACCTCCCAGCACAAAGGCATACTTGTGTAAAGGTAGCCTGAGAGACATTTAATGGACAGCAGGCTGCCTTCAGCGCTATCAGTGATGAAGATCAGTGTTCCTCCTGCCACATACCATCCAATGGTTTCTTAACTGTTTTTAGAAGCTCCAATGCCTCTATCATTAATTTTTTTTTTTAAATGAGCTAATATTAACTTATGAATGTTTCTTAACTTTTCAAGTTACATATATATTTTTTAATTAAGCTCAATGAACAGTTAAAGAAAACAAGGGCCCTGAAATACTATAGGCACTTCTTGCAAGTATCTTATCAACTGCAGAACTGTGCTAAGGGACACAGGCTTACCTCTGACGGCCCCATGTATTCTGTAGAGAAGTCTTTCTCCAGTGACTCGATGTAGGAGGTCAGGAACTCCGCAGCTCTCTTCCACTGCTTCTGCAGCAGCGCATCCTGGATGTAATTCAAACACAACTCCTTGCTCCTCCAGAAGTTTAACCTGCGCTCATTGGAAGACGCTAAACGAAGCAAAACACGAAAAAGTCAGCTAAACCCAGGAATCAGAGCTTTTACCAGGTAACAACCTGCCTGCTACTTCAACTACCCCTCTTTCAGGAGCTCTCTCAACCACTACAGACGATAACGGTAAGCTACGTGGTTTAGAAGCTAAGCACACCCATTTTCCGCAGGGGAGAAAGAGACTGGAAACACGGAGCGGGAACAGCACAACGGCCGCGCCAGGGCCCCCGCTCGCCTCAGCGAGGGCGGCAGGCCGGCCGTGAGGGGCTCCCGCCACCCTTACCCGCTCGGTAGAGGTGTCGCGGCAAAAAGGGCAGGTGCAGGGCCGGCTGCAGGGCGCTCCCCACCTGGGGACCATCCATGGCCCCACAGCGAGCAACCGGAGCGGCAAGACAACAAACCACTTTTGTAACTACACCAAACGGCGCCTGAGGGCGGCGGCCATTTTTGAGTCTGGCGGGAAGGGGGCGGGCCTCAGCTGCCAGTTATGTGGAGAAGGCCGGGAGAAAGCGCATGCGCTCTGTAAGGCGTGGCGCAGAGCGGCGGTCATGTTGGGAGCGGATCGTCTCTTGCGCCTGCGCGCTGAGGGCATCGTGGCGCTCCATTAGATCCTTTAGTCACTTTTTCCGTTTTCTATGTTGATTTTTTGTTAGTTTGCGATAGGTTGAGCTGGAGGGGACCTCAAAGCCCACCCAGCCCTAATCCTCCGCCATGGGCAGGGCTGCCCTCAACTCAGCTGCCCAGGGCCCCATCCTACCTGGCCTGGAGCACCTCCAGCGATGGGGCACCACAGCTCTATGGGCAGCTGTGCCAGGGCCTCACCGCCCTTTGAATGAAGAATTTCCTCCTAACATCTAATATAAACTTCCTCTCTTTTCATTTGTAGCCGTTCCCTCTTGTGTTACCACAGTCTGCCCACAACTCTGGTAATACGTTCTGTATTGTAGAGTAATAGCAGTGCCCATGCCTTCACGCAGTGCCTGGATCTTAGGGATCTGTTTGCATCAGCCCCACAATGTTGCTTGCACCTTTGTGGTAGAACTTGTTTTGTTCACTCGTTCAGCTACTGACCACGGTGGAGTTCTTTGGGATGTTTTCCAAGTAAGAATGCAACTTGTTTTCATTGTTGGTTGCTTGATTGTGTTTTTTTGTTTTTCCATAAAAACTCACCTATCTGGGATGAGTAAGTAATGACCTGACTCAGTTTATGGGTTCATCTCATCTGGTGTTGTGGTTCATCCATGATCAGTGACAGTTGTCAAGAGGAAAAGTATGTTGCAGAGCAGCTGCTTGTAGTGTCTCAACACTCTTAGTATCACTTCTTTATGACATTTAATAGATCTGGGGGCTGTTCAATGAAGTGTCCCTGTACAGCTTTTTTTGCTTTTTTTTTTTTTTTTTAAATTATTCTTGTGTTCTAGTTTTTGACAAGAATTTCAGTTCTTAAGTATTTGGTATTATTTGCTGATAGTTAACATGACCAAAAACTGTCTCTGGTCTGTGGTACAGGTTCTTTACTGATGATATCCTTGTCTGTTCTTTACAATTTGTCCCTCCTATGAGTTTCTTACTGATCAGTGTTGATAACAAACTGTGGTGTCACATCCCACAACATTTCTGTTCCCATTACATCAGTATCCTAGTTTTACTATCTTGCCCCAATTTATTTCTTGAAGTCCTAAATTTGCCTACAAGAGTACTTGCATTTGGCTTGTTACTTTTTATGTACTTTTATCTTGTGTCATACATGAATGAATTTTTGTTGGTTCTTATGTGAACAATGCCAGTTGATCTTGTTAATAACTACTAATTATTAATGTGGTCATACTTTAAAGCAGAAAAACTACTTTCTAAGTGTAAGCACATACAAAACTTTACATTCTCTGCACATAAGTGAACTCTCTTATTGGAATACATGCATTTCTATGATTTGTGTTGAAGGCTGAAATAACTTTTGCCTGAAATATCTAAAACGACTTGAAATATTTCTCTTATGTTCTGCATTAGAAGAAGCTATGGGTACATTGTTGCAATCAAGTAATTGAAGATGTAGGGAACGCTTCATGGTTGTAGTGATGAAAGTCATGTACACCTATTGACTGCAAGGTACTCATTGCACAATAAAAATAATGACTTATGCAACAAGTATGTAACGTTGTTTCTTTTCACATCTCCCTTTCTGGCCCTTGTCTTTATGACTACAGACACCGTTACCTTTTATCTTGGTCTTTTAATGTGGATAAGCTTGATAACCTTGTACTGACAGTGTTGAACAGCTCTGTCTTCACAAGCAAGTGGAGCTGGAGACCAGGCTAGGAATTAAGGCACAATGAAATTAATGTTAAAGGAAAACTGGTTTGTCTTTCATTCTTCAATCATCATAAAATATAACTGGAATATACTTACTTCCATATACAGTAGTGTTTTACAGTCTTTTAAGTTTGCTATGTTTGTATGCTCTTATTCCTTGATACAATTTCTGTGTGTTTTTAAGGTTACATTAGGAGGTACATGTTCTTTTGCGATATTTCTCAGGAGAAGTGCAGCAAACAACTCAAACTGGTTGCGAACCGATACAACTGACATCAGAATTTTATAAATCAGTCTTTCTTAGAGTTTTCAGCAGAAGTATTAGCAATGGCTGATAGGTACCATCTCTTTTTACAGGCTATGAAATGCAAAGAAAGTCAGCAAAATCCCGGGGAGGCCATCAGCAGTACTGGATGCTACATCCACGATACCGTGCTAGGCCTGAGAGAATATCTGTGGACATTCTGTCTCTTGAGCTGCTGTATTTCTGTAGTGTTTGCGTGTCGCCTTTATTCTCAGGCTGGGCCAGGCTGTAAGGAAGGGCAGGCTGTCCCAGCTAAGTTTGGTGGAGATACTGCGGTGCTATGGAAGGTGATCTGCTTCTGCTTGATGGTTTTTCACAATGTGATCAAAATCCTAAGCTGGTGCCTGTGGAGGGTGAAGATGAAGCGCTTAAGCTTTCTCAGAGGTGCGGCTGCATTAACTAAGCTCGGATCTCAGACCCGTATGATGAGGCTGTGAAAATGAATGTGTGGAAAGCAAAACCCAATAATGGTGAGGATACAATAAGAACACGAGCAGCAGCTCTAGTGCAATTAGCAGCGATTTGGTGAGTGCTGCGATGGAAGCTGGCAGTAAGTGCAGCAGTACGATCAGCTGCTTCCATCACAGGGCAAACCCCAAAGGACAAATGTTGAGGGTGCTCTTAAGTACCAGGGAGACAGGCTGAAGCCAGCTGCCAGGAGCTGTCCTTCGCACGTGCGGGCAGAATCCTTCAACTCGACCGCCAGTTCCGCCAAGCACCTCTTTGTTTTTGGAGCGGCCTCAGCATTCGTCCATGGGAGAGAGCTTTTTAGCTTTCCCCTGACATCCAATAGCTCATCAATAACGCTCAATTCCAGCGCCGGCCCCTCCCGCCCCGCGTGCTTCCTACTCCTTTTCCGACGGAGGGAGGAGGATCTGCCCGCCGCCTCCGCCCGCACAGCGCCCTCCCCCGCCGCCTCGCCTCCCGCCAGCGCCGCTGACGTGTCTGCTCCCTCCCTGCCGCCGGCGCCCGCCAACATGGCCGCAGCGGCGCCGCCGGACCCCCGGCTGCTCCTGGCCGTGCTGCTGCTCCTGCCGCCGCCGGGCCCGCTCTGCGCCGCCGGGCCCGAGCTGAGCCGCCGCTTCACCGAGCGCAAGCGCTGCGCCGACCCCGAGTGCAGCAGTGAGTGCCGTGCGGGGCGGTGCGGGCGGCGGGGGGCCCTTCTTTTCCTTCGCGCTGGGCAGAAAAACGTACCCGCGGGGCGGTCGGCGCTTCTGGGAGTGCCGGGCGGTGCGGGTCCGGTCGCCCACGGGATGCGTGTCGATGTCGAGTTCCGGCGGAGGGCTCTCCGTTCTGTCAGCCCGCGTGGGGTCGAGGGTTGGCGTGGGGACGGGGCAGAGCCGCTCCGAGTGGGACGCGTTCCCTACCGCGCCGCGGGCGCCGGCGCTGGCCGAACTCGTCCTCCGCTGCAAGTTTCAGAGCACATCGGCTCCTTTTCTTCTGTGCTCTCCGGGTATTTTATACGCTTTGGATTGCGTGAGCCTTATTCGCTACGAGACGAGTTTCAGCCCGTCTTATTTAATATTAATAATTAGCCTCGTAGAGCGCTTCTCAGATGTAATTCTGAAGTGTTTTATCAAGCACTCCATCGGTGAGCTTACGTTTTATCTCCGATCTGATATTTTCTGTTACATCTTCATCTGTCGACCTGAGATTCACCCCTGTGAGCATGGCAAGATCTTATTTTCTGCCAATTAGGCAAGGCTCCTGTCATAAGGCTGGTGTTTTTTTTTTAATTGTTATTATTTTAAGTGATACTCTTTTTATTTTCTCCATGCAGAGCTAATGTGCCGAGGGAAAGCAATGAAGGATTTTCAAGGTCCAGACTGTCGTTTTGTAAATTTTAAGAAAGGAGAAACAATATACGTGTATTACAAACTAATAGGAATGTCAACTGAACTTTGGGCTGGAAGTGTAAGTGCTGCAAAGCATTTGTTCTCTTGCTTTTCTTGATATTTTCCTGCCGTAACGTTTTGTTTGTTTTTCTTTGTACAAGAAAACTCAAGTTTTTCACCTGGAAACACAGTGTGATGAATGCCATTTGATCTCGAGGCTGATGTGAAATGGGCTGCATTTGCATCAAACTCAAGGCATGCTAACATGGAATTAAAAACTGTTTCTTTTAGAAAGATTTGTATTGAAGGACTTGCATTGCAGCACTGGAACTGGTGGCTCATGAGCTACCTAGAAGCTGAACTTCCCATCTCATCTAGCGAGACTTAAGCCTGCACTTGTGTTTACCCTTGAGGAGGTGTCATTCTGCCCTTAGTGTGATCTTGCTAAAGATTGTCCCTTAAATGTCTTAATGTTGTTCCTCTTCTTAGTATTCTGCTGCCAGCCAGCTTGTCTTTTGTTTTTTTTAAAGCTACATGTGGAATTAAAGGGGAAAAAAAGTAATAAAATTAAGAGGAATTATGGTAAATTGGACTTTAAGAGGTCTGTGTCTGTCATTCAGCTTTAGTGGCTCATTGTAGCAGCTTGCAGAATAGTGACCATATGTGAGTTGTCATTTTCTTTGGGCAATCTGAGCAGGCAGCAGTAAAGGGAAAGGAGTATTCATGGAGCAAGCCCTTCTCTAGGTGTGAGCTTAGAGTTATTTTAAAAAATGAATAAAGCACAACCACCAAGAAACTCCTCTGGGATTTAATGCTGTGCGTGTTATTTGTCTGGTAGAAGCAGAGCTGTGATACCCGAGAGGAGGAGTTGTTTTTGTGGGCTTCCACTGAAAATCTGGAAGGTTGTTTAGTCCATGTCCCTGTTACCCCCTGCCCTTGCTTCTCCCACAGCTTTTTCTTGTGTCTGAACTGTTTATTTCCACCTCGCTCCTTGCTCTGCTGTCAAGGGAAGGCAGCTGCCTGTC